GTTCCCTCCCAACGACACGATCACAAACCACTGCATCGACCTTTCCGCTCTAACCCTGTCAGAATAACAAAGAGTCACTAATCTGGGCGTGATAATGGACCCTTCCCTGAAGCTTAACAATCATGTAAACATGATCGTTAAATCATGCTTCTTCCAACTGAGGCGGCTGTCTAAACTGAAACCCATATTGTCCAAAAAGAACCTGGAGCCAGTAATACATGCATTCATTACATCTAGGCTTGATTACTGCAATTCACTCCTGTTTGGTATCAGTCAGACCTCCATTGCACGACTACAACTGGTCCAGAATGCAGCAGCCCAATTTTTAACCAGTACAGGCAAAAGAGAGCACATTACACCAGTTTTGGCCTCACTGCACTGGTTACCGGTTCACCTTTGAATCCAGTTCAAAATACTCATGTATGTCTACAAATCACTGCCCCCCCCCCCCCCCCATCTCTCTGATTTGCTACAACCGTATGTCCCACCACGCTCCCTGAGGTCAGCGGACCAGTTGCTCCTCACAGTTCCAGGAACTCGTCTTAAGTGCAGAGGTGACAGGGCCTTCTCTGTAGCAGGACCAAGACTCTGGAACGAGTTACCTCTGCTTGTCAGACAGGCCCCCTCCCTCTCGGTTTTCAAGTCCCGTTTAAAAACTCACTACTATTCAATAGCTTTCAACACAAGATGATCTGTGTTTTGATCCTGTATGCTCCACACTGGTTTGTCGTCATTATCTGCATCGTTTTTTGTCTATATTCTGATTTACCTCATTTTGTATTTTGCTTTGTGTGTTACCTGTTGTTTTGTCTGTACAGCATTTTGGTTGGCCTTGTTGCTGTTTTAAGTGCTTTATAAATAAAGTAGTATGGTATGGTATCAGAACGCTGCCTCTGTAGTCCCTGATATTACTGAAAGAACACAGCGCACGAAGTGGCAAGGAAAACGTGGAGTGGACTTCAGGCTGCTTGAACCTCTTCTAAAGGCTTCTACTCCAACCAGTATTAAAATAGAACTTTTCAATGCTCAATCACTGTCCAATAAATCATGTCTTATTCATGATCATATTCTGGAGAAGAATTTGGACCTCATGTGCCTTACTGAAACATGGCATCAACCAGATGTGTACAGTTCTCTGAATGAAGCCTGTCCCTCTGGATACTGTTACCTGCAGAAAGCCCGCTGCACTGGCCGTGGTGGTGGTCTGGCTATAATTTACCGCAGTAATTTAAAATTATCACATTTAGCTTCTCAGGACTTTTTGTCTTTTGAATGTTTGGCCTTCAACCTCAAAGCCCCCCTCCTGATGAATGTTATATTGATTTATCGGCCTCCCAAACCACATGTTTCATTTAACTCAGAGATGCATGACCTTCTCACTTTTTTCTGCGCATCTCCTGTGAAAAATATTATTCTTCGAGATTTAAATATCCATCCATCCATCCATTTTCTTCCGCTTATCCGGGGTCGGGTCGTGGGGGTAGCAGCCTAAGTAGGGAGGCCCAGACTTCCCTCTCCCCAGCCACTTGGGCCAGCTCTTCCGGGGGAATCCCGAGGCGTTCCCAGGCCAGCTGAGAAACATAGCCCCTCCAGCATGTCCTGGGTCTTCCTCTGGGCCTCCTTCCGGTGGGACGTGTCCGGAACACCTCACCAGGGAGGCGTCCAGAAGGCATCCTAAACAGATGCCCAAGCCACCTCAACTGGCTCCTCTCGACGTGGAGAAGCAGCGGCTCTATTCTGAGTCTCTCCCGGATGATCGAGCTTTTCACCCTATCTCTAAGGGAGAGCCCAGACACCCTGCGGAGAAAACTCATTTCGGCCGCTTGTATCCGAGATTTCATTCTTTCGGTCACAACCCAAAGCTTGTGACCATAGATGAGGGTAGGAACGTAGATCGATTGGTAAATTGAGAGCTTCGTCTTTTGACTCAGCTCTCTCTTCACCACGACAGACCTGTACAGCGCCTGCTTCACTGCTGACGCTGCACCTATCCGCCTATTGATCTCACGCTCCTTTTTTCCCTCATTCGTGAACAAGACCCCAAGATACACAGAACAGTAATCTCCTCCACCTTCCACGAACTAAATTAAGAACCATAGGAGATCGGGCATTCTGTGTGGCTGCCCCCCTCCTCTGGAACTCCCTCCCTGACTATCTGAGAGCTCCACAATCATTGACTGACTTTAAAAAAGGCTTAAAGAATTTTCTTTTTAAGCAAGCCTATTCTGCCTCCACATGATTGTATCATTGATTTTAGTTGATTTTATCATTGATTTTAGTTGATTTTAGTTGATTTTATCACAGATTTTAGTTGATTTTATCTCTGATTTTAGTTGATTTTATCATTGATTTTAGTTGCACTCTGTAGCACTTTAAGATTTTTGTTAATGAAAAGTGCGTTACAAATTAAATTCATTATTATTATTATTATTATTATTATTAGGCAGGAAGGATCTCTTGTAAAGGTCCATCCCACAGTGGATCCTAAGAAACTGGCTACAAATGCCGTCCGATCCGTCCACCCAGACTCGGCTGGTCTCTCGGTTCCCCCGGGCTGTAGAACCGCCTGAATGCCGGGCAGAACTCCTCCCAGGAGTAGATAGGTGTTTAAAAGATAGACAGATGTTTAAAAACCCATTAAAATATACCAGAATGCAGGAAATGGCATTTACCTTATTCAAAATTTTCTGGGGGAGAAGCCCCAGACCCCACATCAATGTGTACCCCCTGTCATTCCCCAATCTGTTACAGAATGTACAGATCGCACAGATTTCTGTTGTTTATGAATAAAAACGGTCTTAATTTACATAGAAAAGTACGTGCTCTATTTCCACCAATCATCATGTAGCTAATTTATGCCACTCGTATAGCCGTTACAAATCATTGGTTAAGATGATAAGCGACGCATTAGACCTGACCCCCAGACTGGGCTGAATGAAAAAAACCCTGCAAGATACAGAATGAATTATTTCCATGGTGAAACAGCACCACTCTGTGGTGAAGCTGCATATCATTTTAACCATGATGTAAATGAAAACTAAACTAAATTTGTACCACGAGATCCAATCAACAGAGGATGCCATCTCCTCTGTGGTCCAAACTGCGCTCAACCACCTGGAGCAGAAAGACTCTTACGTCTGTATGCTCTTTGTGGACATCACGTCTGCCTTCAACACCATGATCCGCCAAACCCTGATGGACAAACTATTCACACTAGGACTAAGCCCCGCCATTTGTAACTGGGTCCTAGACTTCTTAACAAACCACAGTCAGTGAGGATCCACAACTTCTCCTCCTCCACCATAACCCTCAGCACTGGCTCTCCTCAAGGATGTGAGTTGAGCCCTCTGCTGTTTACTCTGCACATGTATGATTGTGCACATAACCATCCAGGCTGTCATATTGTAAAGTTTGCATATGATACAGTGGTGGTGGGATGCATCACAAACAATGATGAGTCCAGCTACAGGCAGGAGGTGGAACACCTGGAGAGCAGGTGCAAAGAAAATAACCTTCACATCAATGTGAAGAAGGCAAAGGAGATGATCGTGGACTTCAGAAGGAACAAACACACCTACACCCCCCTGAACATAAGAGGATCTGCAGTGGAAGTGGTTTCCAGCTACAATTACTTGGGTGTACACATGAATGACAACCTCAGCTGGGGCAACAACACTACCAGCCTGATCAAGAAAGCTCATCAGAGACTCTACTTCCTCAGGCGGCTAAGACGAGCTGGACTGGGAAGTTCAGTCCTCACCTCCTTCTACAGGTGTGCAGTGGAGAGCATCTTATGCTCCAGCATCAACGTGTGGCATGGAGGCTGCACAGCTGCAGAAAAAAAGCTTTGCAGAGAGTGGTGAAGGCTGCACAGAAGTCTGTTGAAGTCAGCCTCCCCACCATCACAGACATTTACACCTCCAGATGCAGGAAGAGGGCCACCTGCATCATGAAAGTCCACACTCGCCCAGCACACACACTTTTTCCCCCGCTCCACTCAGGAAGGAGGTTAAGGAGCATTGAATGGACTGTACATATATAGCACCTTTCTATCTTATTTCAAGATACTCAATGCACTTTACACTACAATCTGTGTCCTCACAATGAGCGTAGAACCACTAGAATGAGGAACAGCTTCTACCCTGAGGCTGTTAGACTCATGAATATCTAACCAGAATAATCACTGTGAAAAATCACATCATGTTGCTGCTGATCTGTTTCATGTTGATGTGTTTATGCATGCTCATCTGCTCACACAGACTCATGCTCATGTTCGTGCCGCTGCTCGACGTAATGTTTTGATGCCATTAGTGCTTAGTGTATTTTTAGTTGATGTTTTTCTTAGATCATTTCTTAGATGTTATTATTGTTTTTCTTATACATTTTATTATTGGATGTAACTGGGACCCTGTGTACATAATTTCACGTGGTGCGAACAACAATAAAGAATCTCTGACTCTCTGACTCTGAAATACGTCAATGACAGAAATACGAGTGGCGTAAATTAGCAACATGAAAATCGGCAGAGATAGAGCACATACTTTTCTAAGTAAATTAGGACAGTTCTTATTCATAAACGGAATTATACTAGTACATTTTCTTTAATCTTGCATATTCAACGGCGATCCCTGCCACCCGGAAGTATTCCTTTTAGCACATGCGCAAATGAGCTACGCTACGAATAGGGTTCTGTAACAGATTGGGGAATGACACCCCCACTTTAAAAAAAATGCTTCTCATGTCAATGGCCACTGCGGGGTTAAAGCTAAAAGTCATTGTCAACACTGGGGGCTAAGCGCCCCTAAAGAGCAGTTTCTAGAATTGCCCCTGGAACAACATAAACATATAAAAAGCACATGTTGATGAGATGTGATGGATCCAACCTACAATGGGATGGACTGTGGAACTACCAGAAGCCCCCCACCCCCACCCATGTAGCAAACCAACATACAGCACCGTGCTTTAGTGTCTTTCAGAAAGGCCTATCGGTTCCATCTTACCTCCATATCTGACCCAGCTGCAGGATGTGGATGACGGACTGGCCGAACCAGATGCAAAAGGAGTAGTAGACGGATGGTTTGTTGGTGGTGTTTTTGCTGGCGGTGGAGGCCTGCCTCTGCGGAGTGGCCGGCTGCTGAGGAGCCGTAACGTCCCCGTGAGAGGCCGAGCCGGAGAGCAGCTTGTTCCCGTCCACATGGGAGCAGTCCACGGCGGACTCGGCGCTGTCCTCGGTACCGAAGTCATGCACGAACCACCTGAAGCTGAAGAGCTGCACCGAGAACGAGCCCAGCACCACGAAGAAGAGCGTCAGGCCGAACCACCAGTAGTCCCGCTGCAGGAAGTAGTCCACGGACAGCCACACGTCGGTTCCAACATCAGCCAGGTACACGGCCACTGCGGCCACGACCCACAGAGAGTCCCACACCGAGAACTGCTGAAGCAGCTGGCCCGGGCGGAGGCACCGCGAGGCGGGGCCGACGCAGCACCGCGACTCTCCGTTCACCAGGTCCCCGTCCCCGGTACCCCCGGAGTCCGCCGCTCCCCCTGGGTGGAGCCCCTGCACCGAGCCGGAGTGCTCTGAGTTTTGCAGAAGGGTGAAGGCCACGTCGCTCCTCGTCATCTTCAGGACCCCGTCGGATTTGGCTGCCATGGTCAGAACCGGGACGGAACCTGATGAATTACCCTGTCGGCCGCTAGTCCTGCCTCCCGGACCGGATTAGCTCCTCCATACCCCAGTCTGCTCGGAACACACGATGGAGACAAAAACCAGGGCCGACCGGAGCCTCGGACCAGTTCCAGTTTCTGGGTCCATTTCAGCATTCACTGAAGCTCATGTCCGGATGGGGGTTTGCGCCAACCTGGTCCTGACCTTGGTCCGATCCAATCACCTTTCCTTACAGAGTCCAGATGCAGAGCAGGATCTGGATGCAAACTGGGACCGACAGAACGGAGGAAGGCTACAAGCATCTGAATCCACCATGGCAGCGGTTACAAACCATGACATCATCGCTGTCTCCTCACGCCCCCACCCAGCTCCCACCTCTCTGAAGGCTTTTATGGGTTAATGGTTGCAGGTTTTCCTTTCTTTTAATCAGTCTTTTTATTGATTTAGGATTTTTTTTTTTGTACAAACAAAAAGGTAAACAAAAAAGAATACACCCCCCCCCCCCCCCCCCCACACACACACACACACACCACCACACAAAATAAATCACGCACAAATAAACTAAACAGGCATTGACTATTTTTCCACAAAAAACATAAAATGCTGTCAGGTGTCCCAAAATCTTAACAGAACCCATCAGGGTAGGCTATATACTACCCCGATTCCCTGTCAGATGATGCAACTTTAGAAATATTACTAGAACCTGATTTGTCTTTGGACAGTTTTTGTCCTGTTGAACTCTCTGAATTGTCAAAAAAGAATAGCTTCATCCAAACCATCCACATGTCTGCTGGATCCCATCCCAACCAGACTGTTTAAAGAGGTGTTTCCCCTAAATGATGTCCACATTTTGGATATACTTAATTTGTCTTTAATGAATGGTTACATACCACAGCACTTTAAGGTTTCTGTAATTAAACCTTAACTTAAAAAGTCTGATCTTGATTCAGAAATTCTGGCCAATTATAGACCTATATCTAATCTAACTTTCATCAAAAAAATTCTAGAGAAAATAATTGCAGGTCAGTTGCGTGAACATCTACAAAGAAATAATCTGTTTGAAGAGTTTCAGTCAGGGTTTAGAGCTCATCATAGCACAGAAACAGCACTAGTAAAAAATCACTAATGATATTCTCATGGTCTCAGACAATGGACTTGTGTCTATACTGGTCCTGTTAGACCTCATTGCTGCATTTGATACAGTTGATCACAATATATCACTACAGAGGTTTGAATATGATATTGGGATTACAGGAACAGCTCTAAAATGGTTTAAATCATACTTAATTGATATATTCCAGTTAGGAAATATAAATAATGAATCTTCTTCATACACATGGAGTTCAAAGTCAACTTTATTGTCAAAACTGCAATATGTACAGGACATACACAGAATTGAAATTACATTACTCTCAGACCCCTGGTGCAACAATAACCATTTAATATTAAAACATTTAATAAGCATAAGCATAAAATGAAATAATAAAAGTATGATACTGTCCTAAGTTGTAGTATAGCGGTATAAAAATATAAAAAAGTATATCTATAAAATAAAATGAAGGTCCTGACATTGACTTTTGTAGTAAAGTGACAAAGCAGCATATGAAGTGAATGTACACAGTTTATGTATGATGTCTTTGATATTGGTATAGGTAAAGGTACATACGCAATAAGGCTAGTAATATATATATATATATATATATATTATCAACAGTAGTGCAATATAAACAGTAGTATGAATATAAACAGTAGTGTGAATATAAACAATAGTGTGAATATGAACAATAGTGCAAACTGAATGAGCACATGAGCGTGTGTTGAGTGTATAACCCATTGTTAATGATGCAGAGTTCAGTGTTAAAAGTTTTTGAGTTGTATGGTAATGTGTGAAAGTTTTGTGTGTTAAGGCCGTACAAGAGGGAGGGGAGGCAGAGCAGGCAGAGAGTTTAGCATCCTGACTGCCTGATGAACAGAGCTGTCTCTCAGTCTGCTAGTTCGAGCCTCCGACTCCGCAGTCTCCTCCCTGGTGGCAGCAGGCTGAAGAAGCTGTGTAGTGGGTGTGTTGGATCATCCGCCATGCAGAGGGCTTTCCGAGTGAGGCGGGTACTGAGTTCCTCAAGGTTCAGTGCTTGGACCAATACTCTTTACCTTATCTATGCTTCCATTAGGTAAAGTTATTAAACAGCATGGGAAAATTTGCAATGGTTTATTATATGGGTGTCCACAAACATCTTTAAAAAGTCTTCAGTAAATCCAAAATGATTCTACCAGAGTTTTAATGAGAATTGGTAGGAGAGATCATATCTCTCCAGTTTTATCTTCTCTCCATTGGCTCCCTGTCAAATCCAGAAGTGAATTCAAAATCTTACTTCTAACCTACAAAACTCCCAACACCCTAGCTCCATCTTATATTACAGATCTTTTTGTTCCATGTTTTCCTAACAGAGCACTTCACCCTCAGACTGTAGGTTTACTTGTGGTTCCTAGAGTTTCCAAAACCAGAATGGGAGGTAGATCTTTCAGTTATCAGGCTCCTCTCTTTTGCAACCAACTTCCAATTTCTGTCCATGAGGCTGACACATTGTCCAGTTTTAAGACTGGATTTAAATCTTTCCTTTTTGATAATTCCTATAGTTAAGGTTGGCTTGGGTTTCCTGAGCAATCCCTTAGTTATGTTGCTATAGGCTTAGACTGTTTGAGGACAAACTGACCAAATTTCTTCTCTTTGCTACTGTCTTTACTCACCCTGTGCAACCTGTTTTGTATTTGTAAATATTTTTTCTATCTTTGACATGTGTTTTTGTCTTTCATTTACACCTGTACCTATATCTGGACCTGCCCTTCTGTGTTCGTTTGTCTCTCCTTCCTGTCCTCTCAAACCCAGTCGCTCGAAGCAGATGGCTGCTTGTCCTGAGTCTGGTTCTGCTGGAGGTTGATTTTTAAAAGGGAGTTTTTCCTTTCCACTGCTGCCATTGTGCTTGCTCAGGATGGGAGACTGCGACAAAGTGAAGAGTCAACACAATCTGCTCCTTCCTTAGATAGAGAACTTTACTAACTGGTTTTTCTATGTATGTGAATGTTTCTGTACAGTGCTCTGCGAGAACTTTGTTGTGAATTGGCACTATATGTAAAAACTGAATTGAATTATATCTGATTTTTTGCAAATTAATATTATACATCACTTCCCTTATCAGAGAACCTGGGCTGGGGGGTGTGGGTCCTTCCAACTGCAAAAAACCAGTCTCCTGGCCAGCAGAGAGCCAAAATCAATCACATCCTTCTCGTACTTGGTGAAGGATGCATCCACAAGAAACCACCCTGAACAATGAGATGAGTGGTGATGGGTGTACAGTTTTGCCACATATTCCAGAGGAGGTGTCAAAAATAGATTGCCAAAAGGTCTGCACTAAAAAGTTAAATCTGGTCCTCTGGGCATTCAAAAAACAAAACGAAGCAAAACAAAACAAAAAAAAAAAGTAGAAACGTTTCGTCTTTCATCCGAAAGACTTCCTCAGTCTGAGGTGCTGTATTCAGCTCAGTCTTATAAATAGCACTTTCTCAGAGTGGCTCAACCAGTTTTGCTGCTGACAACCAAAACCAGCTGATCACATGGTCAAGAAGGACCATCATCCTAACGATGGATCATTAGCACACTGATGGCTGTTTAATTTCAATTCAGTTCAGTTTATTTATATAGTGACAAATCACAATAAAGTTGTCTCAGGAGCATTCACATACATAAAAGCCAATTAGTAAAGTTCTCTATCTAAGGAATCCAGCAGACAAGTTGAATCTTGGCTTCGTTGCAGTCTCCCATCCTGAGCAAGCACAGTGGCAACAGTGGAAAGGAAAAACTCCCTTTTAAAAAGAAGAAACCTCCAGCAGAACCAGGCTCAGGACAAGCGGCCATCTGCTTTGACCGGCTGGTTGAGAGGACAGGAAGGAGAGACAGACGAACATAGAATGGTAGGTCCAGGTATAGGTCCAGGTGTATCTGAAAGACAAAAAGGACACATGTTAAGGATAGAAAAAATAATTACAAATACAAAACAGGTTGAGCAGAGTAAGTAAAGATAGTAGTAGAGTGAAAATTGTGGTCAGTTTGTCCTCCAGCAGTCTAAGCTTATAGCAGCATAACTAAGGGACAGCTCAGGAAACCCAAGCTGACCCTAACTAAAAGATTTAGCAACAAGGAAAGTCTTAAGCCTAGTTTTAAAACTGGATAATGTGTCACCTTCACGGACAGAGATTGGAAGTTGGTTCCACAAGAGAGGAGCCTGATAACTGAAAGCTTTACCTCCTATTCTGTTTTTTGAAACTCTAGGAACCACAAGTAAACCTGCAGTCTGAGAGTGAAGTGCTCTGTTAGGAAAATATGGAACAATAAGTTCTGTAATATAAGATGGAGCCAGGTTGTTGAGAGCTTTGTAGGTTAGAAGTAAGATTTTGAATTCTATTCTGAATTTGACAGGGAGACAATGGAGAGAAAATAAAACTGGGGAAATATGATCTCTCCTACTAACTCCGGTTAAGACTCTGGCAGCAGCATTTTGGATCAACTGAAGACGTTTTAAAGACGTATTTGGACATCCAGATAATAAACCATTGCAATAGTCCAGTCTAGATGTGACAAATGCATGGACCAGTTTTTCTGCATCATTTTTAGATAAGATGTTTTTAATTTGAGCAATATTACGCAGATGGAAGAAGGCAGTCTGAGTAACGTTTTTAATGTAGGGGATAAAAGACATGTCCTGATGTAGTGAGTCACGTAGGTACGTGCCACTAGTTGTATGACAAATATATGTGGTATATATTTATGCATACTTTTCACGAGTTCTTCATCTTTCTGACTGTGTAATGTCGTGTATTGAATTCAACAGAAATGTAACGAGAGACGTTATTTACCTTTGACCCATCAAAATGAATGGAGTCATTTATTTTCAGAATCAAAGTTTAACATCAAACATTTACATTAATTTGGCAAAATATGAAAATAATAACAGACAAGTTTCACAAATAATGAACTTCAAATCACTCGGCGGTGATTTGAGGACTTTGCTTCAGATATTTCTAAAAATATCTGTACTGATTTATGAGAGAGAGGTGAGTTTAAGATGAAACGGAGATTTATCTTACAGAGGAATATGTGAGGGAATTTAATCTGTTTGACCAGAAATTGCACGCTTCGTCAGATCTCAGCTCGTCCACGGTACACTTGGTCGAAGAAGAACTTTACCTTGTTGAAGTTCATCAGCTCAGTAAGAATCCTTCAGACTTTTTCAGCGTCTCCATTGAGAACTGCTAAAATCCTTGGAGAGTCGTGCGTGGGTCGTT